ATGGGATGACTGGAGTCTGGTGTGCTATTGTTTGGTTGGAAAGAAAACATGCAGCCACACGACCCTTTCTGAAACCAGTTTGACACCTGTGGCATAGAGCTTAGAATCCTGAGGTTCTGAGTTCGAGCCCCACTCCCACAGACTGCCACTCTGGGTCCCTGAGGAAGACCCTTAACCCCACACTGCTCCCCTGGCACCGCACAATGGCAGCCCACTGCTTCCCAAGAGCATGGGATAAATGTAGAGAGGAAGTTTCATTGCTCTGGACTTTTGACAGTGAAAGACAATAAAAGCTGGAAAAACAAAAAAAGTGTTATTATCTTTACTCATCGACTCTTTTTGCTGAGAATAGAACCAGAACAGCTTTGTGAACATTAAAAGGCTTCTTTTTATTTGGATAACTTTGCATTCTGAAAGTAAATGAAATCTCATCAAAAATCCTGAGGCAAAGAAAAGTGACTATTAATGCACTGCTGCAAGCTGTGCACTGGTGTTACTGGGAATCATCCACACGGCTCGGCTTTTTGTTCAGGTTACCTTTTTTATGCTGAATAATTCATTGCTATACATTTTAAGCTGACAGCTCTGCTTCTTTATAAAAATCAATGCTCTTTATAGCAAACATTTGTCTATATTTTTATTTACTTAATCACCAGAAAATATTCTGATTCGTATTCTTCTTGAAAAGAGAATAAAATGAGTAAAAAGACAGAAGCTGTTGTATTGTGACCCAGAGGAACCAGAAATAACTGGGTTTAATGAAGCATCAGCACCAGTAGGTGGTTGTAAGTAGCAAGTAGATTGTTAACTCTATGGTTAATGAACTGGTGGCCTTTATCACTGATGATGGAGTCAGCTGCTCCATCTAAACCTTTCCTTCATATTCTCCTCCATGCTGCACCATGAAAGCAGCTCACAGAAACTCCTTCATGTGTTGGTTGGGCTTACCTTGGGATGTTGTCGTCAACTGTTGCACATCCATAGAGAAAGACAATGACCCCAACGAGTGAGGCAGGAATGAGCATCTGGGTGTAGAGGCCCAGCCATGCAAAGTACAGGCCGATCTTCTCCCCAAAATATTTTCTAAAGGAAACAAAGGAGCAGAAATAAGCTTTGATAGTTTTGAAAATGTTAATGCCGCTCCACTTCTACTAGACCCAGCAAAGTTCATGGATCTCCACCATGTGGCCCACTGGGCCGTGTTTCAGTTCCACAAAGCTCCAGTAATAGCAAAAAGGTCCATAGGTGAAGCCAAGCTGAACTCCACTGATTCTAACAGCATGAAAGGCATCTTTGGACCAGTCAGCAAGAAATAATCAATGAATCATTATTTATACCTAAAACTAATATGTTTGCCGTGATTTAATGAATATAGCGTTAATCAGTAAAGAATTCAAGCCAGCTCCCATGTCAGAGGATGAAGAGAGCTCATCCAGTTAGTCACAGTCAGAAAAACAGGACTACACTGGAAAAAAAGGCCGAGCTCCAACATCTAGAGTCACAGCCAAACAGGAACAGACGAGGCAAAGAAAAAAGAATTTTGTGGCGATCACTAAGTCTG